TACTGATGATTTCCACATCTGAATTTGTGTTCCTTAATTAAGTGTATATGTGTATATGTGTTTATTTTATTTTTATTTTTTTTTTGTATAGACACAAATTGGTGAATTTTGACAGTGTTTGTTCTTCAACTTGTAATTTGGTGATCATCGAGTTCTTTATACCTTTCTTTGTGATTATTTGTTTTTCCTCACTGTCTTTTTCTTTCACACAAAGTGTTTGATAAAATGCCAAAGTGAAATTTATATAATTTGTTGGACTTGAAACTGATGCACACTGTGTATTATGTAACAATGAGAATTTGCTGAGAAATAAAGAAGAAATGGTTGAGTAGTGGAATGTGTATATATGAGCAGATCAAGTGAAGAAAAAGAAAGAAAACAGAGCTTCAAAGAAGAAGATGAGAAATAATTCACCATAGTTTCAAAAGCATTGGAAGCTTTAACTTGTTTTGAAGAAATATAATTTTTAATATGATCACTAGGCATGGAATTAACTTACATATCATCTTCTTAAATGATACTTGGCAATATTATTAAGGTCGGGCTCTTGGCCTCATGGTGACTTGGGCTTGTAAAGGTGTCCTACAATGTGTTTAAACACCATTGGATGCATTACCTATGTGCTCCTTTTTGTTTATTACGTCTTTTCTTTTCTGTCATTTATATGAATTGAATGTTGTTTGTAAGTTTGTAGTTTCGGCCTTGTAGGTTGAGCAGTTGCATAAAATTTTTAAGCTTTGTGGCTCACCCTCTGAGGAATACTGGAGAAAGTCAAAGTTGCCTCATGCTACCATTTTCAAGCCCCAACAGCCTTATAGACTCTGTGTTGCAGATACATTTAAGGACTTCCCTGCACAAGCCTTAGAGCTTATGGAGACCCTACTTTCCATAGATCCTGCTGATCGTGGTTCTGCAGCTTCTGCTCTACATAGTGAGGTATGAACTATGAAGTTTCTTAAAAGTTGAATTTTCTGGAATGCTCTTGGTTCTCTTGAAGATTGACCCTTTTATATGGCTGACTTTGGGAGCACTAAGTTAAAATGATGTGAAAAATAGGCATGTCGCTTGCCTTCCTGTCAATTTGGATAGAAAGTATAACATCTACAATTTAATCCAAGAGTATGAGGGTAACTTTATTTAAAATGGTTGAGTAGTGGAATGTGTATATATGAGCAGATCAAGTGAAGAAAAAGAAAGAAAATAGAGCTTCAAAGAAGAAGATGAGAAATAATTCTTATTTTCTGCAGATTCAATACATCAAACTTAAACCTGCAATCTCACACTTGGCAGCCCAAACTTCTACCATTGCACCCAACAATGGCCCCTTGTCAGTATTACATATTTGATGTTCAATAAACTTTCTAGTCCGACTTTGTCCATTAAGTAATAGGTCAGGGGTCTGTTTGCAAATATGGTTAGTGACACGTATTTTTTGTGTCTGCTTCCCCAAATCATTGTGAACTTTGGAAATAACTTTAGTAAACCGTGGTCATTAATTTAGTATAGTTGTGTAAGATGATTTTACCTTGAATTATAGGCTCATGTGCTTCTGCATATCATTCACTCATCAAATCAGAATCAGCCTCCTTATAGGAAGCATCGAGAAACTGATCATTCAGTGTTTATGCGTTCTATTACCGATCTTCAATCTCATATTACTGAATCTTGTAAGATGGTCTCAGCTTTATATGGGCCTTTCAAGAGAAAAGCTATAGAACAGGTAGGATGAATTTTTATAACTTGATTTTTTTTTCTTCATATTTAATCAATATTGACTCTTGTTAGCTAAAATGTGTAAGTTTGCCCTGTAATTTTGCTTAATGAATGAAGATTAGTTATGAATTATATAAAAACAAACTGAGAGGTTAGGAAGATAAGATACATAATTGTCCATTCTAAAAGGTTTATCCATGTTATCATCTGCTAGCAAGCGATTTGTGATCCAGTTTGCACAATCCGAAATATGGGGCCTACACTAAATTGGTGATGAGAGTTATTGTTTCTTTCACTCTATGTTGCTAATATAAAAAATGACAAACTGAACATTTAGACTTTAAATTTTGCCCTGTAATTTTGCTTAATGAATGAAGATTAGTTATGAATTATATAAAAACAAACTGAGAGGTTAGGAAGATAAGATACATAATTGTCCATTCTAAAAGGTTTATCCGTGTTATCATCTGCTAGCAAGCGATTTGTGATCCAGTTTGCACAATCCGAAATATGGGGCCTACACTAAATTGGTGATGAGAGTTATTGTTTCTTTCACTCTATGTTGCTAATATAAAAAATGACAAACTGAACATTTAGACTTTAAATTTTGGGAAAAATGTTAACCATACATAACTCAAGTATTATTTTCTGTCTTTAGGTATTTTGGCTTGAAAAGATCAAACAAAGAATGGATTTTCATTGTTTTAAGTATTCACCACTGGATATTCTAATCAGTCTGTCTCTACCTTTACAGCTGGGAGCCCCGTTCATACCTGGAAGTAGACTCCACAAGTCATTACAGGCAAGTTAATTATATAGTCACATTAATTTCTTTATTTTTCTTATTTTACACTATTATGAGAAATTAATAATAAATTTGAAGATGGGTTGTTTCAGGCAAGGAAGAAAATGTTTCAGGCAAAGAGGGAATATGATGGAGTTTTTTTTTTTTATTTGTTCTTGTTCTTTTACTTTTCCCTCCCTCTAATTCTTTTTATCTTGTTTAATTGGATTATAGCGTACTGTATGGTTCCAAATGTATCATCTGTTGCATATAGTGTAGGCTCATCTTTGGATATAATTGGAAGACAAGTGGTATTTTTAATATTATAAGCCATATTAGTGTGTTTTCTATTCCTTTTTAATTTTTTTTAGGCAAATTACACTTCTTGACCATTTTGATTTTAATTGATGTATTTAAAGTCTGAATTTTCTATTCTTAGGTATGCAATGCATTGTTTCTTATTTTTAATTTTGTTTTCAAGCTTAGTTTATTTATTATTTTAATAAACATCAATTATTAGTTCTTGATAATTATTTGACAGGTATTTTTCAAGCTTAGGTTATTTATTATTTTAATAAACATCAATTATTAGGTCTTGATAATTGTTTGAAAGGTATTTTTTTTGTTTAACCATATAAAATTAGCACAATTTAAAAATTAAAAAAAAATGCTATGGCGGCATTTAAAAAACGTCACTATATCCCATCCCAACGACTAGATTTTTAAAATGTATGAACGTCTATGACTGCGTTTTTAAAAATGTCGCTAAATGTCATAATGACGTCATTGCCAGCTAGGACGGACATTTGGCAGCGTTTTTAAAAACGCCGCCTATAGTAATATAACGACGTTTTTCAAACACCATAAAGTTATAGCGACGGCCGCGTCGTCGGCGTTTGGTACTAAACGTCACAAAAAGAAATAGCGACGTTTTTTAGTGCTTTTAGCGGCGTTTTTAAACGCCGCTAAAAGTGACTTTTCCAGCAGTGTCAGATTCTTTTATAGGCATATAGTAGAAATCAGCAAAACAAAACTGATGAGAATTATGAAGTTAACATCAATCCTACACAATGAACTATGAGAACAAAATATCAATGAATTCTTATTTTGCTTTTGAAATAATTACTAGATTCAATCAGAGATGGAGACTTGTAGACAGGAAAAATCAAATTAAGATCAATTCATAAATGGACCACGGTGTCAAAATTATACGTGTCAATGTCAACTCTATATGATTTCATGGATAGTCACAAACAGTTTCAGATATCAAATAGTATAAAAATTGAAATTCAAATGGCAATAATTAAGCTAGCTTAAAAAAAAAAAGGCAATAATTAAGTGATTGCAGCTTTTTTTGGCCTCAGATATATCAGAGCAAGAATCCCACTCCTTATAGTGTATTATACCAAATTGGTAACAAACATGTGAGACCTCGCCAACCAGAAGCATAGGAGAGAGGAACCAGTGTGATCCCTTGTCTGGAGAAAATTTCTAATAAAGAGGTGACTGTCTTAAGGTTCTAAAAGAAGTAAATCCTAGGTGAAGTCCAGAAGGCCTAAGGGATATTTTTAATGTTTTACAGGTAGAAACCAACGAAGTCCGAGTTAACCAAATCACAAAAGAAAAGCACAGTTAGTGTAGGAACCCACATTTTATGTTCTCATCATGTTCATGAGCATCTGTGTGATTATGATTTGCTAAGTTTGCATGTGTGTGTTGTGATTTGTTTCGCTTGAGTTAATGTGATCCATGCCTTGTTTTGAAGCCTTGTGCTTTGTCTAAGTGTAGTATGCTTGTCTTGTTCCTTCCTTGATGTGAAACTTAGGTCTCGCCTTGCCTGAGTTATACTAGCCGATGTTATTCCAAGCCGAGGTCATTCTTAGTCTAGTAGTAGTACCTTGGAACCCCTTGTCGACCTCCGTCCTTGCCTTGACCACATTAGCCGAGATGTTACCTTGCACCCAAGTCACAATGGTAGATCAGCAAAACACACTCGAACAGTAGATCAACAAAGCACACTCGCTCAGCCACCATTCCTGATGTAAACAGGACCAAACTGAAGGAACAGGGCAGCACAGATAACCACTCAACCAGCAAAAGCAAGACCAATGTGCCACCATTCCAGAAGCAAAAGATCAACAATAGCTTAATCTGTTTTGTAATCCAGATCATTCACAGAAACAGATAACAGATCACACGCAGAAACTTATCAGCACATACACAGAAACCTCTAACAGCACAAACTAGATCATACACCAACCTCAATAACCAGACCATACACTAGCTCAGCCACCATTCCTGATGCAAAACAAATAAACACTCAAAACAGATACACAATCAATCTCCATTCTTGAGACAAAACTTGACCTGCTGCAGATTGTAAACCAAATCATTCACAGAAACCTCCATAGGTAATGGTGAGGCCCTGACCCACAAATCTACTCTAACTTTCACAATTTCACATAAAGCTTCAAAGTCTAGTTGAGATCCATTGAAAACACACTCATTTCTATGCCTCCATGCAAACCAAAGAGTTGCCAATTGGATGACCATCCAAATTTTCTTCTCCAATTTTTCATTGTACAACCATACCACCACTGCAGCAGCCCATCTAAAGAACCTGGCAAGACCCACTAAAAACCCCACCATCTACAGCCTTCAACATCATTATGATAGAAAACAAAGTCAAGATTAACACTCCCATTCCAATTCTATGAAGAAAACAAGAAGTTTTAACCTTACCAAGCCGTGCTAACCACCCAAAAAATTGTACTTTGGGAGGAGCAAAATTATTCCATATAGAGCTTGCCATTGCCAGAATAGGACCAAGAAGTGATTCACTACATTTTTAAACTGATGCTACACTAAACAGTCCAGATGAATCTGCTGCCCATTTCAATTCATCTGGTTTATCAATACAAAGAGCTAGTGCACACCTAAGCAAACAGACTAATTTATGGACTTCCTTCTCCTCCAGGCCAATAGATTTCTTCTAAACTCTAGGTTCCAATCATCAGCTGCACCCATTTTCTCAAAAAACAACCTTACCACCCCATGCTTATCATTAGATAGAGAGAAAAATCTAGGGAATTCCTCCTTAAAACATACATTACCAATCCACTTGTCCAACCAAAAGTGTACTCTTCTCCCATCCCCCAAAGCAATCTGAGAGTTATGAATATAGAAATTAGGCAAGTATGGATTCAACAGAACTACATTAATTGTATCAATCTAGAGCTTAGATCCTTTGCTTTCCAATCTTGGAAACCATTTTTGTCACACCCCAAACCCGAGTATGACCAGCCGTGGCCCACAAGGCCTTAGCCCAAGGCACACATAAGCCTAAACACGAATCCATAAACATATTGAATAACTATACAATAGTCCAGTAATAAATAACCAAAACTCAATCCAATGACATGCCACAATTACAAACAGCAAAACCAACCGTAATCAATATCATCCAAACTTATGGGATATAAATAGCCCACATATCAAAATAATCCTAAATAAAGCCCAATAAAAATAAAAATAAATATGCACAAACTTGACATAACAATCTAAAACAAAAAAAATGAATGTCCTAGAGGTCCATGCAATTGACTCCCCACTACGCCGTGAGTCCACTCTAAGTCCTTCTAACACCTGGAAATGATAAACATGTAAGTCAGCTGGTAGCTCAGTGAGTAGCAACATGGATAGTAAATATAGTTTTGAAAACAGGGTTCGATTCCAAAATAAGATATATATCACAGAAACTAGATTGACATACAATTTTGATAAAGATAATCTGTTTCAAAAAGAAAGTTCCACAATTCAACATTTAAAATACTCATGTCTCTCTGGAATATAATAAATGATATCTTCCACTTAAAACAGATTACAACATGAACACTAGTAATTTTCTGGGTACAAAGAATAACAAGTAACACGGCACATAGTTCTCAAGGCTATAAGTCCGTTGGATCCAATACCGAACTAAGAGTCATCCTCACGGTGGCAACTCGGACCTTTTCTCTAAGACGATCCGATTGAAGATCACCTAGCCTAGCCTAGGTCTTTCCCTTTAAGTCTTTTCCTTACAATCGTTCAGCACTAGAGTCATCACAGCCCAACCCGAATCTGTTCCCTAGTAGCCAAAGTCACCACACACATTGGAATAATTTCCCTAGACTAAAATACACAAATGGTCCCGATAATCAATACAATTCAGTTTCGCAAAACATGGTAGTTCACCATTATAAACATGAGACCATAATAAATAGTTTACAGTATGCCAAGTTTATACATGTTTCAGAAATAATTTAATTCCACTGATACTATAATAATTTATCAAAATAGTTTAGTCCTGAAACAACAATTTAATTTTCCAACAGTTCAGAGTAGGGGAACATTTATAAAAATATATAGCATACAACTACTCACTTGAAAACGAAATAATATAATTCTTGAAGAGAGTATGAAAGTCCAACTAGTGCCTTGAACTAAGTATGAAGACTATACGTCACTACTAATTTAAAAATACTAAAGAGAATAATAAACTAAGTAACCCCAAACTAAAGCGTACTAACACGGCTCAACCCAACTCACCTTACTCTTAAATGTTACCTAAGCTCATGTTCTTCGAGGTCTAAAATCACCCAAGACATGGGTTCAAATTGAAACTTAATTAAAAGTAATTTTAAGATAAAACAGAATTTTAAACAACTTTTCCCAATCTATTCGCTAACTTCGAAAATTAAAACCTCACTCCACGTTGTTTGAAAAATTCCAAAACACTCCATATATCAACTAATATATCCTAAGTTTCAAACTCAATTGGTTTCGCTTGATTTGCTTATCAAAATAATTATTTACAATTAATTATATCCAAACAGATTGTTTTCTGCAGCACTTTAAAGAAAGTAATGGTTCTCTTAGTATACATGAGCAATCAATGCAAAGTCAAAAATTTAAGAAACTAGACTCGTAACCGGTTCTAATGATGAGAATTTCATAATTTTCGGATTTATACCCAAAGAAAATGACAGTTTCGAAGTTACTATTTTAAACCAGTTTTCTGGACAGATTTGAGCGCACCAGTTATATAGATTTTGAATCCTAAAAATTATGAGAAAATTCTGATATGCAATTCAATATGTAATTAATCTATTATAAAAATTTCAGTTCAAAATTCATCTGTTTGATATGATTCCTCAATTTTTAAAATTTGATTTTGTGTGCAGAATTTTTTTACTTTCTTTTTAGACTAAGAATTGCACCCATTATTTTTCATCACCAACCACTGACTTGGCACC